TTTTGATTTTGGTTTTAAGTGGTTATGACATTTGTAGGAATTCCCTAACACATGCACTCTCTTGAGTTTTCCCATTACCCTAATGCTAATACGAACTGATAGTACATTTCTCTGTGACCTTTTATCATAACAAATACTATAGCTTCATTAACATTTATCATTAAACTGGATCATTAAAATACTGATTCATGTAGTTTTTAAAGGAAAAGATACAACTTGAAAATTTGAAGTCATTGTAGGCAGCGAAATGGCCTTATAGAGAATGGTCCTTTACACTAATCTTTGCATATTTGAAATATCAACGTCGATTTCATCGAAAGTTTGTTCTCTAACCATGAAAACAGTAGAAATGGAAAATACTTCAGAAAATGTTGAACAACTGGACAACTGGACGATGACCAGTATCTGTTGAATGTGTTGGAGCAGCCTATGATGAACACTAAACCCCGTCCTCAAAACTTCATCAGTAATTGCAATGTTATGATAAACTCAAATCGCATTAATAATCGAGAAGACGTTAATTGTTACCTTAAAAAATTACATCTTTTAAAAGTAAACCGACCATTTTGTTTACGTCTTATTTTGCCATGCTTCTTCACAATAAAAAAACCCATAAATTCTGTACTGTATTTCATAAAACAAAAGAGTAATTGACTGTGTTTTTAGGGCAACATTGATTATGTTAGCCCCCTTGGGACGAAAATGTCTCGTCCATCGGAGACTAACATAATCAATGTTGCCCTCAACCCAAGTCAATATTTGTTAATTTTCTGAATTTTATTTCAGATATAGAATATTCTGATCTAAATACTCAGTAACTTTTACAGAGGTATCTGTTTTCAAACATTTTTTTTTTATTTTCAGAGCGTGAATTTCCCTCAAACAGTCCTTTCAATTCATATTCAAACAGAGAGGTGTTTTCAAATACACAAAGCATTGCCTGCTCGACAGAAACGAATTGGGAAAAACCAATGAAAATAACAAAATTTTTTATACCTATTGTTATTCTTGGTTGCGTGTTTTCAGTATTGCTTCTTTTCTATTCCAGTCTCCATCTAAAAAGATGTAAAGACCTTTTCATAGCATAAAGGAGAAATTATTGTCCCTCACTTTTATTGAGAGATTTTATAAATTTGTTTTTCTACTTTTAAGAGACGATGATATTTTTGTATATTAATTACATCAAAGCTCAATTATTCTATACTATCCTATCTATAAATGAATGATAATTATTAAAACATAAATATTTTTTTCGCAACACACTTAACAAAATTCAGATGTTTTTGCACATGTAGTGCAACTTACTTTACAACAGCCACAACAGCTTTTTTGACTGAAAGAGATCATGCAGTGCTCTAACGGATATCACAATCCTCGTTGTGAAAATATATCTATTTTTTCAATCCAATTCTGCGTAAAAGTTTTTTTTTGTCGATATAGAGTTACTGTTTATAACATAATGATTTTTTTTTTGGGGGGGGGGGGGAGGGGGGGTATTTTATTGACTCAAGCAATGTTGTAAATTTGTCCAGTATGTAATTAGTACAACAATATAAAAGTACATACAAATTCGCTTTCTCAGCCTTTTCACATTTGTACATAAAAGATTTCTAGACACAATTTAGATACTCTTTACTATGCAATTGCATAAAGCCATATATGCTTTCAGTTTATATTCATTGTAAAAACCACAATTTACAGAGATTTTGCGATGCTCAATTCTAAATTTCAGATGAACAATTCCAATTTGAAAAGACTACACGGGGGAAAGTGGCTTATATGATATTCATGTGGATATCTTCTTATTTGAAAATTATGTGAAAATCACGTAAAAATTATATGAATTTTTTTTTTCATGCGAATATCATGTGAATGAGTTTGTATGATATTCACGTATTTTTTTAGAACTTGCATGTGATTTTTTTTTTTTTTTTTTTTTTTTTTTTGCACGATGCGATATGTTCTTCATGTAAATTTTATATGGAATTCACATGAATTTCATGTGAATCGTTTGTATTAGAAAGAGACAAAAACAAGACATGTGAAATTTATATAAAAACTTCAAGCCATTTTGACATGACTCATAAATGAAAACGTAATACTTTTGCGATAATGCTGCATTTCGTCAGATATTTACTGCAAATTGTGTACATTAATTACGTTTATTATACATCTTATAATTATTCTATACAACGCGTTATCTGATTGGTTTTGTACAGTTATGTGACAGGGCCATAAAACTTCATATTTCCCTGTCGTCGACATGGTTTTCATCAAATTCAACCTCTTCGGATCTTTGTGCAGTTTCCAGTAATAATTATCGTTTCTTGGAGGAAATCTCCTGAGTGCAGCTGACGTTACTAAATTAACATCTCACAAGCAATGGCGAAATTAGCGATCTTCTTTCAAATAAGACTGATTTCATAAATAGAGAAATCGAAGACAATTATCTGTGAAGTGCCCAAGGGACTTTAGTAACTTTTTTTTTTAATTAATGAAGGTGGATTTGAGAACGGTGTCGGATTTGTAAGTTTGTCTTTATTTTAAGGACTTGGTTTTTTTCTGTATAATACACAATTTGTTGCATGAATGTTCGTAAAATACGAAGATTTATTCATCCAAGAAAAGACATATTCCCCTCGGGTGAAGCCCTCAGGAACTATGATATTTTTCTTGGATGAGTAAATCTTCATATTTCCTTCACGATCATGCAATAAATGTATAATGTCCATCATCATTCCTTTGAAGGAAAGTGAAAGTCATTCTAGACGTCTCCTCTCTTATTTTTTTTATATTCATATCTTAAGTTTGAAAATAAAGGAATTCTGATACATTTCGTTCTTTCTTATAAAAATTTTCATAATTGAGACGAAAACGCGTTTTTCAAGTCCTTATAGAAATCTGAAAACAAACGATTCCTAATTGTTCAGGTGCTGTTTAATTTCCAACAATAATGACCTTCAAAGCACAACATAAATATCATCCACTTTTTGGACTGCATCCGACTTGGAGGCAAGCATTTGATATACAAAGAAAATTGAAGTGCAAATGTGTCAAAACGATACAAACAGCTATACTGTATTACATTTTCCTGATAAGAAAGAAAGAAGGGGTCCATGGGCGACATCGCTCACCTGAGCAATGTGGCTAAGGAAAAAAGCAAAAATCAGTTCAGTATTGAAAAGCTTAAATACATAAGTGGTACCGAACTAATCCTAAAAATTATTAGAGTGGAATTGAATCTACAATAACAAAGGATGCTTCCATATACATGTAGATATGAAAAAGCATGGCTTTGCAGTTCTTAAAAAGAAGAGTTTTAAAGATTTTTCCTATATAATCCTTCGTAAAATTTTGATCTTCCATTGCGGTATCACCATACTCTCGGGGGTCATGATTTGAACAAACTTGAATCTACACCACCTGAGGTTGCTTCCATACAAATATAACAAACCATAGCTTTGCTGTTCTTGACAAGAGTTTCAAATTTTTTTTTTTCTATATATTCCTACGTAAAACTTTGATCGTCCATTGTTGCCCTACCTTACTCCTGAGGGTGGTTAAGAACAAACTAAAATCTACACTACCTGAAGCATTTTTGCTAGCCAAGGGTTTCCGATCCGAAATCTACTCTGGCTTTGCTGTTCTTGAGAAAAAGATTTTTAAATATTTTTTTCCTATATACACTGCACCCCTATGTAAAACTTTGATCGTCCATTGTGGTCCCACCCTACTCCCGGGGGTCATGAATTGAACAAACTGGAATCTACACCACCTGAAGATGCTTCCTTAAAAATATGACCAATCATAGCTTTGCTGTCTTGAGAAGAAGATTTTCCTACATACTCCTATATTAAACCTTGATCGTCCATTCTGGCCCCACCGTACTCCCCGGGGATCATGATTTGAACAAATTTGAATCTACACTACCTGACGCTGATTCCACGTGAGTTTCATCTTTCCTGGATAATTGCTTCTGGAGCAGAAGATTTTTAAAAGATACCAATAATTTTTCACGTTTTTGCAACTATCTCCCCTTGGAAGAGGGTGCGACCCTTTATTTGAACAAACTTGAATTCCCTTTACCCAAGGATACTCTGTGCCAAGTTTAGTTGAAATTGACCCAGTGGTTCTGGAGAAGATGAAATTGTGAAAAGTTAATGACGACAACACTAACGACGACAACGACGACATACAACGGAAAGATTTTGATCAGAAAAGCTCACTTGAGCCTTCGGCTCAGGTAAGCTAAAAATTCAACCGTAAATGAATATTCAAACTTAAATGAATACCTAATATACATGCCAACCTTAGCCCTGCTCAGGGGCGTGAATCCTGAATCAAGAGGTCATTTACTTCAGAGTTCATTGAAATGCCTGTTTAATATCAATGTTTTAGGACAAATATTGTAATTAACTTGCAATATGCTTGTTTAACTAAACCTTAGTCTGCTCTAAAACAGTGTTCATTATTAACATGCAGGGTGTTGACTGCCGAATAGCTTTGAGCAAAGAGAAATATTTCTACAGAGATAAATTATTATGATGATGCGGTTAAATAGTATTAAATCCTCCATGACAAACTTAAGGAAAAAAGAATGGTAAACAGCACTTACGTTGCAGAGTTTTGAGCTCTTTGCTAGAATATATGAGAGCCTTCTATGTTTAAAAACAGCATATGTCACTTCAAAGTTATAAATACTCGTAAATATATAGCTTTGTAGACCCCATTGTAGTTCTGACCTCTAAACCCAAGGAGTATGAATTTAAAATTTACAAAGAGAAATTACAGCATTATATAGTCATTTGATCAGCGTCTTAAGAAAATTGTCTGACTGCTTTCCTTAGTATGCAACCAGCATTTGATCACGTGTTAAACTGCTCGAGGCACCGCTAGGTAATTACAAAAATGTCCACAGAACGATTTCGAATGTTTAGATGCTGCATGAAAGAAAAACTGCTCACAGATGTGATAATTTTTTTTCTGCTGATGACACATACCTCTCCCATTTCCTCAACAACTCTTGGGAAAATGCAACAATTTTAATTTGTGCACAACGATTCAATATAATAGATATGTGAATTTATTTTTCTGTTTTTAAAGATTCTTTGTTTTATCATAAAAAATATTTAAAAAAAAAAAAAAAAATAGAAATTAAACTTACCGTTGCAAACGTTTATAATCTAAACCTTATACATGTAAGAGGTAGAATTTACTTTACCGGTCCCCAGATCCGCAAGATCCGCGCGCTCATTGCACTATGACGTATGATTTACGTCACTCAACTGATAAGTGTTAGTCTTGCACATTTTCGACTGGTTATGATTAGTTTTGCACCCACCTGACAGTTTAGGGTTAGTCCTTGTACAAGTATTCGACTGATTAGCGTTAGTATCGCATCCATCCGAGAGATTAACCCGGAATATTTGGGTTAGTCCTCGAATACCATTCGAGAGATTAGGGGTTAGTGACTCGCTCTTTTAGATAAATTAAGAAATGCAGTTGCTTCTGTATTTTTTCTAGATCTTAAGGACCCTCTATACACTAGAGGAAAATATTTTTTGGACATTGAGAAAATTATACTGTGTAAAGGTATAAGTATTGAGCTTATCTATCACATTTTCAATATAGGGTGCCTTGCAATTACCCCCAGGAAAAATGTTCAAAGACTATGAAGTACTGATGAACATAAATCACTGTTGTTTACTTAAGTGGGCAAAATATCTGCAAATGAAGTGTTCTATCTATTCATCTTGGCCTATTAAAGTGTTATGAATGCTTGATTTGATCACAAATTAAGTATTAAACTGTACATTTCAATTTATTTTATTGTTGATCAAAGGGCAGATCACTCTATCTGCATAAAATACCACAAAATCAGAACTCTCTAGTGTGCAGTGTATAGAGGGTTCTTAATTCAGCTTCAACGGCATTTCGTTGGTTTGTTTACATGAAAAAAAGTACGAAAGAAACGACACTAAGCATGCGCCGCACACGCTTCGTTGAAAATTATTTTTTGTCGATTTTTAAATGAATAAACAATATTCATTATTTTTTTTTCAGAGAACGCGGTTTAAAACTTCGTTTAAAAACGAAGTTTTAAACTAAACTTTTAACCGAATAATTCGAGTTTTGGGTCAAGAAGGCCAACAAACTCATACTTTTTAATTTTTTCGATCGCTCTCGCGATCTTCTATATACTGAAGTCGCCTACGGCGACACTATATTTTAGCGCGTTTTTTCTGGGGACCGGTAAAGTCAAGTCGTTCCCATGTAAGATATCAATTTTAATGCACCAGATAATAATGTCTTAGCAGTGATGCTCATTCCGAAACCTTGAAAATCTGAAATATTTAAATAATAATAAATCAGAACTGTCGAAGTACCAGAGCTATGCAGGGGGAGATAGTCCTTAATTTTGAAATAAATTCCTCAATTTTAAAACAGTAATATATATATATATATATATATATATATATATATATATATATATATATATATATATATATATATATATATATATATAAGGGATGTCAAATCGGTCAATATTTGATAATCTTTTACTCGGACGATTTTTCGATCGAGTACCCGGGTACTACGTAAGACTGTAAAATACAAATGTGTTAATTTCATTGAGACCAGTTAAGCCCTGTTTAACCCCATCGATGATTTTTTTTTAAAGTCTTCTGTGCTTGTACACAATTGCAAACATCGAGCAAAACGAAAATGTTTTTTTTTTATCTTAATTTATCTATCAAATAAACACAAACGACAACAATTAATACATCAATAATTAGAAATCACTTTTGAAGTGTCCGAATTCGCTACCGCATGCGAACTAAATTAGTTCAGAAAGAAACTGAAATGAAACTTTTATATAATGAATGCTGAAAACAATTTATGAGAGAATTGTGTTACTTACATCAACATTTCTATCATTTTCATGCATAAATATTCTTGTGTTTTGAGAAACACATCAATTGAAAAAAAATAGTCCGTTTAAAGTAATCACACCATGTTTTGTACATGTGACATTTATAGTGTAAGTCTTTATAGAAGAATGATTCCTTTGGTGAATATGTCGTCATGATTAGTGATGCAAGAGGAAGTTAAACAACCGTATTACTTTTCATCAATGGTCGTCCGTGAGCTTATCAATTTGTAAACTATGAAAGAAATCTTTAAAATTGCAAATAAATATTCCTAGTAAAACTGTTCGCTTAGACATAAAATACAACTGGTCTAGTCTTTCTCAAAAAAAAAAAAAAAAAGTAAGACACTATTTTCTAAAGTTTACAGAATTTTAAGATACATGTAGATATTTCAGTCACGCCGGGAGTTGACGTTATTTGAAGAAATTATCCGAGTTTGCGTTGACCAAAAATATGATTCAGAAATTGTACAATATCAATATGATATTGAACGGCCAGAAACTGAAATTCACAAAAGAATTATTCGTCCCTTTCCAAAATGGCGACCGTTTTTGCTACATGAAGCTTGTATTCAAGAATTCTTTGCATTAGGAGACGATTTAAAACACAACTTAAACTTGATATTTCCTACAAAGCAATCAACTGGGAGAAACAATCATCTAATTTTGTATGGAAAGCCATAGGGGACCCCCAGGGTCAGGGTCTATATAATCTATAGTTTTAACCCTGGCCACCCATGATTTCTACCCTGGCCTTCCCATCTTTGAAGCCATAGGGGACCCCCAGGGTCAGGGTCTATATAATCTATAGTTTTAACCCTGGCCACCCATGATTTCTACCCTGGCCTTCCCATGTTTGCATCATGGACACCCCACGCTTTATCATCATGGCCTAGCCGTATACAACCTGACCGATCCATGTTTGCAGCATGGCCATCCCATCTAGTCATGTTTACCCCGACCATACACAGCCTAGCCCGGCCATGTACTACCCTGGCCTAGCCATGTTCGCACCATGCCAGTGATTTTTCTACACTTTTTAATAGGGGCCTGGGCCTTTACAACTGGGAAAAATTATCGACATTTGTGTCAAATTGGGAAAAATTAAGTACCAGTCCACATAAAAATCAGACAAAATTGTATGAAAGTGATACATGAAGGTTTTCAGAATTCGATGATTTTTCACTCATAAATTTCTCTTGCAATATGAACAATGTATGTAAAATGAAAAATGTTTTGAGTCATGGTTACCATGGAAACCCGGCCAAAGAAATTTCCTTAGCAACCGGCAATTTTTTCCATGTTGATGGACAAAAATTCACCTATCTTTAAGGCTTAAAATAAAATTTTAATACCATGAAAATTATTCTCAATTACTGGTGTAATAAAGATACACATTTAAAGTGTTTTAATAATGCAATAAAAGAAATTTAGGTCTTAAGTTAGTTCTGTGCTAGCCATTGGAAGGTACACATGTTTTGCAATTTTTGCTGATTCAGCATTTTTCGTGATTTTGGCAATATTCAAGGCCAAATTTTAAAAAAGGCCAGATTAATACAGCTGTTGCGTGTATTTCACATAAAAGCAGATGAATTTCTCTTTCAGAATTTGAAGTCAAATCCACGGGCCTTTTTGAAAATTGAATTTGTTGCCTAGCAACAAATATGGGCATTTTGATACATAAAATGAGAAACAATGTAAAAAGTTTACGGAAAAATCAAATGAATTGTTATCTACAAAAATGAAAATCAAATTTTAAAATAGCAGAATTAAATTTGGACTTCCTAGCAAATTATTGAATATTGTATAATTATTTATCTCCATAGCAACAACAGGTTCTCCATAGCAACGGGGCAAAGAAAGTCAATTTGACATGTATTCATGTAATCTTACTAAAAATTTATTCAAATTAAGTCAGAAAAATGTCGTTGAGCAAAATTGACGATGAAATGTTGGTCTTATTAAAGTTTTTTTGGTACTTAATCAACCCATAGCAACGATTCCCAGTACAGGACAACCAATGTGTACTATGCCTCCTGTAAGACAGATTTGACTTTGGGATCGTATTGTTTGTCATGGAATTGAATATTCAAGTAATGTGCTGATAATTGTATATGCTGAGAGTGTGGAAAGAATATAAAATGTTGTAGCAAATTATTGAATATCGTTCATTGACTTATTTCCATAGCAACAACAACACTTCCCCATAGCAACGAGGCAAAGAAACTTAATTTTGACACATATTCATGTAAACCTGTAAAATTTATCTAAATCAAGTCACAAAAATGTGTTTGAGAAAAATTGACATTGTCATGTTTGTTTTAGGAAAGTATTTTTGTACTCATTTAACCCATAGCAACGATTCCTAGCACATAGCCAACAATTTTGTCAGTATGGGATTCATTCTCTGTAACCGCTGTATTGAAAGATTTGGCATTCATCACAGATTTCGGGGTTACATGTACGACTCTCAAATAATCACTACAGAAAGCATTACAATGTAACGATTATTCCTCATGAAAATAAATAGATAAATAAAAAGAATATTGTTTTCTTTTCAAACAGTAAGAGGATAAACACGTTTGTTCATATCTAAATATAGAGTTTTATGCATCAATAACCTCGAGTAATACTTAAGTGATTTAAGGATACACCAAAGGCTTTTTTCAAGATTTTCAACAATTTTGAGATTTTTGGCTAAGAAAAAGAAGTTAATCACTGCTTTATAATGCATGTAAAATTCTTGGTAATTATGAAATGGTTTTCTAATTATTTAACAATAATGAAACATAAACACTACCACATGTGAATGTTCCGTTATTGAAGCTTCTGATTTGATCTGTGACTGCCTGCTCATGAAAGACGCAATAAATCACTGTGACCACTTGGGGAATTCTTCACTAGCCACAAAGAGATTATCAGTAATTAAACTACAGGGACTCTAGATTTAGAGAAGGAGATCTAACAGATCACTGATGACCATAAAATAAGAGGTGGAGCTTAGCTCTTGCCATTTTGCCGGGAAATCTTTCTGATTCAGAATTGAACCTATTTTACTTAATTAAAAGCATCTAAATA